ACTAATTCCTAGATCCTAGAAATTTTTAAATTTAGCGTTAGTATTTATAATATAAAATTAATAACACTTAGGAAAAACTGGAATACTTGAAAAACCGATACAGCTTCTTTTTCGCTTGGTAGTGGACTATCTTCTGTCAATATTGAAGGGATACGTTCTATACCACCATGCTTTAGTTAACATTACGTCTTATATGTTAGACTATCATTATTTTTTTTTAGTTGGTTAACAGCAGAAATGTATTATTATTCACTCACATTAACATCCTTATCATAATTATTTTTTGCTACTTTAAACACCTCATTTATTAGATTTAGTGGTCCTATCTTGAGACTTCCTGTAAGTGCTATTCTTTGCTGAACTGATTTTTCGTTACTTTTGCACGTGACTAAGCTAAAGCATCAAATATCATTTCATTTATCTCCTCATCTGTGTCATCATATTCATCGATTGATTCCTTTATGAATTTGTTAAATTATTATTTTATGAATACCATATTTTAGTCGAAATAATAAAAATTTAATAATCTTACCTGATTGTTCGAACTTAAATTTTGCAATTTATTTTTTTGAATAACCTCATTCTCCTCAAAAGGTGGTGACACGGAATTATCGCATTCAATTAAATTATCATCGATTCGCAATATTTTTTCTCCCTGATCATCTATGTCCATGTTTACAAAATCTAATTCTATTGATAAATCACTAGGTTGCCTGTTAAGATTAATATCTTCAGCTTGTATAACATTTTCTTGAATCGTACTAGAATAGGTTACAGGATCCAAATCTTGAAATTCACTTCCTTGATCCTTCTTAAGATTTTCCATGTTAGAATTTATCTGACAATATAAAATCAATGTAACTAACTTACTTCATCGTCAATTATAATTGGAACCTCATTCTGCTCCGTAGACTTTAAGAGCTTTAAGAAATTTTCTCTTTTGATAAGCACCACATTTGGTGCGTCCAAATGTAATGTTTCGGAAGTTTCATCATTTAAAAAAAAGGTAACGGAAAACAATGGATTCGTATTAAAAGTGGCTTTGGTTATTTTGCCTTCGGTAGCTTTCCAAATAATATTAAAGGAATATTTTATAAGTTCGTCTCTACTATCCACTGTCTCAATCATTTCTTGACAAATTTTTTAAAAATGAATCTACATGAACAATCATATTTATAGATGTTTTCTCAAATGATGTGGTCATATTTTAAAACTGATTTCTAATATGATTAACTTGAGAGTATTCTATTTGATTATTATTACGACTAGTGCTCCGCAAAATCAAATCAAAATTTAAATTTGAATCAAATATTTGAAATCATTTGATCAAATTTTTAAAAATTTGATCAAATAATTTCAAATATTTGACTCAAATTCAAATTTTGATTTGATTTTGTGGAGTATTAATTACAACTACTGATTAGATATGTCATTCTAATTCTGTATATAATGAAATGATATTTTTTCATATTTAATATGAGAATGCCTCTGATTAAATTATAAATAGAAATAATGGTATTACACTTAATAATTAAATGTCCTTATACTTTTCTTTCTGTTTTTGCCTAATAAATAAATAGATCATAAGCTTTAGTTCATATGAGTGTAAAGAATAAACAGACGAAACTTAAACATCCTCTATTAAATAGCTATATATTCGAATAAATTCTATTTTAACTATGTATACAACCTTGATTTATGTCAAGCCATTTATGTAACATTGTTGTGATTTTTGTTCTCAAAAGTGCTTTAAATTGCACAAAAAAGTCTTGAGATTCTAGCAAATGATCAATAACAAAAGTTGAAAATTAATTACCGGTAAAAAATTTTAACTTGTCATTAAATTCACCGATTATTTATAAATTTATACGAATTTTTAAAGAAGTCTTAGTCAATTTATGAGTTATCCATTTTCTTCTAGCCAATTAAGAGATCACACTTGTTTTTAACGGCGGCATGGTTTATACTAATTGACGATTTACGTACTCAAATGGCTCTTGTGATCTTTGCAATAAATATTGTGTAACAATTGTGCAGCCATACGTTAAAAAAACTTTTTTAGCGTGCTTTTTTTCAGTCCAAAGCTGAAGTTCTTCTTTTAAAGAAACTTGCTCTAACATTTAGTAAGAGAATATATTCCCAAATAACACAATTGACATCATCAGTTTTGATAACACACCAAACTTACGAAAGCGTAGAGTTCACGCGAAACGTCCAAATATCTAAGAAGATATGCTCTAAGCAGGTTTTTTGATTATTTTTTCTTATTTTATTAAAATTTAACTAGTTTTCCTCATAAGCAACCATTACCAATCGCTAAATTAATCCATGTTTCAACTGCGGAGTAATTTGATTGGCTAAATCGATCGAATGTAGACAGTCAAGGGTTTCTTGGTCTTCTAGTAACATTTACTTCAATAATCCATCTGCACCTGGCACCCACAATTTTCATTTTTGGCCTTCTGAGCCCACAAAACACCAACCAATCCTCTTCAGATTGCCTTTTTGGAATATAAAAAAATAGTACTTTTTGCTTCTAAAGCATGTTCTGGGATAAAAATTTAGTCTTTGAAACAGAAACACTTGACCGCACATTTCGAGATATTCTTTAAGAAGAAAGACGCAGAAATGTATCGAACCTTACATGATTGGCTTGCGAAGCACATGACTTTGAGATAACTGGCCAGCGGCATTTGGAGCGAATTCACGCAGATGGTGCTCTCCAATACAACTTCTGCGATCTGACAAGCCACTGAATGAAGCTTTATGCAAAAATACTACATAATTTAAGGATGTGGAATAACCTGGTCAATAAATTTTTCTTACGTTTCGAGATTTTATTCAAGTAGATAAAGCACTGGCCGAAACATTATACTACGTTATATAAGACTTTTATGTCATCAATAATGAACAGCCGCACACTGCTCAAGTTCCATACGAATTGACATTAAATATCGATGACCTAAGTTATCCTTCAAAAAATTCATGTCGTTCAAAAAAAACCGATGAAAATTAAATTTATGGCTTACTATGGTGTTTCTGAAATTATTGAAAACTAAAAAAGATCAACTTATCAATTGCCCATGTGATAAATTTGATTGAATTGAAATAACGATAATTTTTTTTCTAAAAAAAAATTAATATACATGGTGAATTCTAATAGTTTCATTTATTATTATTTGTATTCTTTATTTTCGTTTATGTATATCAAATAATTGTAAAATAAAAAATTTTTGTTCTACATTAGTTGTAAACCACCTCAATAAGTTATTTCACATATTATCTAACTGTACCTTTTCCTTTAATACCTTCTTTATTCGTGTTGGGTAGCACGCGTTAGAAGAATATATTTTTTCTAATTAAAAATCTAAATTTAGATGGCTCGAACAAAAAGAGTGATGCCGAAATCATAAACTTAACTGAATCGGCCAAAAAATCATATGGCTATCAGGTGTTTCAGAAATTATGATAATAGCTGTACAGCTAGTAATGCGAACCGAACTTTGAACAGATAATATAAATAATCCACAGATCATTTTAAACAGATAATTTATATTAACTATAACATATTATGTCCACAATAATTGCCTAACACGTGAAGTATTATAAAAAATACAGTATTCCGATTGGTGAAAAACGCGTAGGCTTTTTATTTTTACACAAAAAGATTCGAATAAACTGTTGGTAGCAAAAATAGCAAATAAGTTAAAATTTTTATACGAATATAATTTTCATAGCATTTTACATTAGTATACGGTCTTTGTCTAAATGGCTGATTTTTTATTTATTTATATTAATATCATTTTTCGATGGTTATTCATATTGATAAGCATGAAAAAGAGAATTGTTAATTACGCGTGTTAATGTAATTTGAATTAGTAATTGAATTTTCAAATAAATACTTATAAAACAAAATATCTTGCTGTTTAGGCGCATTCGGCTTTCATCCGAATGAGAATAAAGAAAATTCGATTTTTACATCCGTTAACGCCATACTTAATGAATGTAACAAGTTTTCATTGTTTTACTACGCGTCATTAAAATATATTACTAATACAAATTGCGGTTTTACGCGATTAATAAACAAAGAAAATTTTACTTCGCGTTAACGTAATTTTTATTAGTAATGAATTTTTAAATAATTGTTTA